AAAAGATACAAGAAAAGAAAAGAAAAAAAAAAGAGAAGGATAAAGGGTAAAACCAGTGTGATAACAGTAAACGTTCTACTTTGAATGTGGCTATACCCCAAATGTATAGCACAAGCTTCTTACCATCTTTAAACATGGTATTTGGCTTTCTCCAAATGCAACTCTGGTATACTTAGACTAACTAGGATGAAGGTAACACTATTCACATTTTAAAGGTTTGCCATGGTCAGAATTATAAATCTAATTAAATAAAGCAGCAATGAAATCAATACAGCAATACTCTGTATAAATCTATATATTCCATAGCTGTTTTGTGACTGAATTCAGATCATTCACAATTTTTAAATAAGAAATTATGCAGTTGCCAAGATGAATTAGTGATATGCTAAATAATTGGCTTTGCATCACCTTCAAAATGAAATTTAAGGTAAGTGAAAATAATTTCTCACTGTTGTATAGTTAATAGGAAACCTGGGAATATATTTAAATTAAAGTTTATTAATTAAAAAGTACACATGAAGTAGTATTTTCAATTTCAGACTAGTGCAAAATAAACCATCTAAACTGTAATGAACAAGTCATTCAACATTAGCATTTGTAATAGAAAAATTAACAAGTCATACATAATATATTAACATAGATGAAGTTTCTACATATTTTCAGCTGGGTTCAGTGATCGTACACTACTTGACAGACTGCTTATAAAATGAAAGCTCTGATTTACAAGGAACACATGTAACAGTTGTATTATTTCCAAACACTACTAGTAAAAAGAAAAAAGGAAAGTGGTAAGTAATGAGGAACCATGAGATAATCCCATCACTAGACATTTCTAAACTCCTCATGATGTTTACATTTTCATATCTCATTCTTTTCCTTTCAAAGAAGATTACAGGAATGTTCCAAAACCTTTAGATACAGAAAAAAATTAGTGCGTTTCTGAACAGCAGCCAGTCTTCAAATCCTCTGCTAACTCTAGAGCCTGACATTTCTCTCATCAGCAGATCTTCACACATGAAGTCAACTTGTCATATTTTCAGCAGCCTAGAAAGAGAAGCACTATTTATTATAACGAAACCACTAAAATAGGTACCAAGGCATAAAAATTAGCTGTAACAAATATAGTCATTTCTTGCAACTACTTTTACTTGGTCAAGAGTATTTGGATACTTTAAAGATGCTCATAAATCTTTTGATATAATTTTAATCTGCTGCCAAATGATTCTTTAATGAATTACTTTTGTTTTCAAAATGTTTTGAGTTTTCAATATTCCGTATTAATTTAGTAATCACTTGACAAATTTTAAACATAGGTGAGGTAAGGTGAGAAGCTCTCTCAAGGAGCTGTATTTTCATCTTATTGCTTGTGCATGTTAGGCTAAACATAAAGGTAACATTAGGTTACATGATACCATATTTACCCGAATCTAAAGCTACCATATATTTAAGGTGAAACCCCCACCTACCCTCAGTAGTCAGAGTCTATACATGGAAAAATGTAAGTGTTATAATCTTCCATGCACAGAATCTGATTATTGGAGGGTAGTCTTAAATTCATCCACCCAAACTAGTAGTAGGGGGGCAAGGGGCCAGACCCCTGCTTCTTGCTTCCCGTTTGTGCTGTGCTTGCTCCATATGCCGTTTGCCCTCCCTTGCCACTCAAGCCCCCATTGCCTGACCTTTGCCCCCTGCACCCTCTTGTCTGTCCCATTCCCCATGCCCATCCAGGACTATCCTGACTGCCTGCCTTCCTCCACCCCTTGCAATCCCCATGCTTGACCCCCTTCCACCTGCCCCTCCACTGTTTGCACCCCTCCCTGTTAGGGTAGCTCATCACATTTAGCTTTAGTTGCACCTGCTTAAGAGGTGAATATTATAGTTTTATTTAAACTTTTCTTTTATATTCAGCTTTATTTAACCACTGCTTAAGTTTTTGTATCGCTGCATTATTATTTGAACATTTTTTTTCATTTTGCTTGCAACAACACATCAGCTATCCTTGAGTTTGCTTTCACAGACAGCTTATGTTCCACTGTCACCAACACTCGCATGTGAAATGTAGGCCCTGTTATGAAGTTCAAATTAACTGACACTCAACTTACTGAATCAGAGGGAGAATATGATTGGATATGTTAATGAAAGGTGATAAGAGCGGACCAACTGGACAGTGCCCAACTAAAGCCCTTGGAATTTCTGGAGTTGATGGACAGACCAAATTAGGAGTTTGGGGAATGCCCAAATTAAGGTGTGTGCATGTGATGGGTTTGTTGGAACAAAGAAATATGCTGACAAGATAAAAACATGAACAGTATGATGATCACAGGGAAACCAACCAACGGTACCTGGAAAAGAAGAGTCAGAGGAATAAAAGTTAAAGAAAAAGCATTAAAGAGAGGGGAACAAGGAAGTTGGTGCGTCTCATCATCCAACATCTAGACTGAAAAAACAGCTATTACCGATAGATGAAAGAGCTGTGTGAAACGGCTGTATTTAGTTTCAGTTTTAGCCATTTCGGAGGACAGCGATTAGTTTTGGATCACTGTTCCGTTTCAATTCAGATGAATCTGTTCTGAAATTTCGATGCTGTTTTGGATACTCGGATTAGCTAGACAGCTGCAGGTTCTCCTGAGGCTTCTCTGGCTATGCCTGCCTCTGCCCTGGTGGGGGGAGCCATGGAAGAAGCCCTCATGGTTGCCCCGCTCGGCCCCATCCCCCACCCCAGCCTCCCAGCACTTTACAAGGAGGGCTGCAGGGCTGTGCCGGACTATTTCCAGGGGGCGCCTCCAAAGCTTTTCTGAAATGTTTTGGTTTCGTTTAGCTTCAAAGATGTTTCGGAGCCTTCAGTTTCATTTCAGATTCGGTGTTTTGGGTGCCAAAACACCTCTGAAATGAAACGGCTGCTGAAATTTTGCACAGCCCTACTATATGACCACCTCTACTTCCAGGAACCGATTGGCCACCTTTTCTGTGAAGCTGAGTAACACCTGGGATTAGGTAAGACAATTGCACTAAGTGTTTTTCTCTCTATGTAGAAACTATTAATACATTTAGTAAGTTAGATTTTAGTTAAATTGAATGATGCAAGGTGTATTCCATGTTCACTTTGGGTTGATTATGCTTTAGCAATCCTTTCATGCCATGGGCACATAACATCCCCAATTCCTTACCTCTGGCTGCGGTGCTGACAGCAGCAGCAACAGTCCTTGCCTGGCCAGGGAGAAGCAGCGGTAGCAGCTCCGGGTCTAGGTGGGTCAGGCCCATAGGGGTCGGAGCCAGAGCTAAATTCTAAACAACTGGGAGAGCAGGAGAAAGCTATGCAGTCTCCCCCATGCATACCTCCTCTTCGCTGCAACTCAGGTCCAGCTTGCCCTCAAGTCAGAGGCTGCACTACCATCTTTCCTTGCTTTCCCCTCCCGCATTGGTGATTGGCAAAAAAAACCTCCTTCATCTTGGATTTGAGTACATACAGTACTTATGGCTCAGTGACAAGATCACACCCTCTTGTCATTTAGAACGAACGAACGAGTTTGTGTACACCTGCTCTTTTCCACATTTGATGAAATACATAGAAAGTATGCTTTTCTGCTTTGTTACATTTTAATACCAAATTCCAAAGTTTCATTTACACAAATTTGGGACAGTGGATTCGTGATACAATGTAAAAAAACAAAAAGAAAAAGGAAAATCTGACCACATGAAGGTGTAAAGCAAACATTTCTCCAAGATTCTATTTGGGTTTTGTATTGAAATTGTCCTTCCAAATAGATAACCTACATGTACAGTGGATTCAATCACATAATATTTTCTACTTTTCCAAAATGGCTCTGAAGCTCAAATAGGGTAGTTAAACTATTTAGGATATTCACAGTATAGTCTCTTTAAAATAATGTTTTCGTTGACCATATAAAAGGAGGGCTGTCCAACTGGAAGTCCCTGGGCCTATTCAGCCACAGCTAGTCCTACAGCTTTGGCCATGGGCTCCAGGTTCCCCTTGCCTCTCTCAGCTTTTGTTTTCTTTTCCTGTCCCAGGGGATGGTGTGGTGCAGCCTATGGTGCTGTGGGAGCTGCAGTGTGGTGCAGCAAAGGAGCTGGGGTGAGGGCCACCCATATACAGTGCTCTGGTGGTGGGAATGCCATCAATGAGTTTGCTCACACTAGCGTGGTCCTGAGCTGCTTAGAGGTTGAACAGTTCTGATCTAAAAATATAGTGTGGTTTTAGAATACTTTCCATATGAAAAAGGAGCATAGACAGTGTAAAAGAACACTAAAAAAATTATAGCCTTTTCTTAGATTTAAATAAACTTTGCATAATATTACTTAAGAAGTTCTTTCTTAATTAAAAGTAACTAACCTAGATATAGAGCTGAAGTAGCGAGGTGGCCAAATTTACACATGACAAAATTATTCTAAGTGGTAAAGACCAAAGCAGGTTGTGAGGAACTACAGAAGGATCTGGCACTACTGAGTGAATAGGCAACTAAGTGACAGATGAATTTCAAAGTAGATAAATGTAAAATGATGCACATGGGCAAAAATAACCCAGACTATATCTAGACTACAATGGGCTCAACATTAGCTGTTACCACACAGGAAAGACCTGGGAGTCACTGTGGACAATTCACTAAAAACATCAGCTCAGTAGCCATCAGAATAATACCTAACATTTTGTTTGACATTAAGACAGGAACTCTTTATATAAAAACAGAAAGTATCAACATGTCACTTTATAAATCCATGGAGCAGCCACACCTTGAATATTATGCTCAGTTCTGGTTCCCACACCTCAAAAAGGAAATACAAGAACTAGAGAAGATACAGACAGGGACAACAAGGAGGATTAGTGTTCTGGAGAGCCTTCCATGTGAGGAGAGACTAAAGAGGCTATGCCTATTCATTTTGAAGAGAGACACTTGTGGGGCGGAGGGGAAGACATAACAAGGACTTACAATACTAAATGGTGAAGAGAAAGTAAATAGGGATTTATTATTCACTCTCACACACAATGCAAGAACTCGGGGTTATAAATGAAACTAGCAGGTAGTAAGTTTAAAAAAAACAAACAACAAAGACAAACACAAAAGGAATTTTTTTTTTTTTTTTTACTCTGCATGCAATTAAAGCGTAGAACTTTTTGCCACCAGATATTGTGGATGACAGTTTAGAGATTTAGAAAGGGATTGGACAAACTCTTGGAAGAAAGGGACATCAGTAGCTATTAGCAGTGGAGTTGGGGATACAGCCTCCGAATCAGAAGTTCCTGACCTAGACCCTAAATGCTGGAGGCTGCAAGTAAGAGAAAACAGTGAAGAAAACCCTGGCCATACCCACTTCACTCTCCCTTTCAGCATCCACTCTCTGCCTCTGGTGACACAGGATACTGGGCAAGAAAGATCTATGGTCTGACCCAGTAAATAGTAATTCTTATCCTACTGGCAAAAAACCTTACTAGTTACAGGTGTCTAAGTATAACCAACAGAAATTTGTTTCCTTGGATTTTTAATTTTTAATGAGAACGTACACAATTTTTACATGAAAAGACAAAAGCATAGTATTCCGAACTTCTAATTACTTGTAACTTTTTTTTTTTTTAAATGAAATACATGGAGTTTGTTTTTAAAGATGGCTTACCTTCAGAGCTTCTGTAGCTTTACGCAGTTCTTTAATAACAGAGGATAAGGCCTCTGGGTTTATCCCTTGTTCACAAAGCCGCACACAAATAGACAAGGTTTCCATATCCAAGCCAGTGTTTAATATTCTTGAAATCTCAAATAAAACTACAATTATTAAAAAAATTGTAAGTTTGTTTCTATACATTAGGAGTGCTACACCATCCAGCCCATATGAGGAAGTAAAAGCTTTCGTTCTCTAGCCAGGGACCATTTGCCTGCCCCCAGCTAGACAGGCACCTCGGTCTCCTCTGGAGACTGCTGTTGCAGTTGCCCTCCCCTGCTCTTCCCTCCACCCCCTGGTAGCTCCTGTGCCAGCTGCCCCAGTCATCAACATGAAAACCCTGAAGGAGCAACCTCAGCATTTGGGAATGACCTTGTCCCCTCAGGGACAAATCAGGAACGGGAAAGGAGCAGACAGTGGAAACAGCAAGGCAGAGTAAGGTCCTGCCCTCTGCTCTTACCTGGCACCAGGTAGACCAGTGGTTCTTAACCTTTTTAACATCAAGGCATGTAGAGTATAGCTCAGCGATTCTACTGGGGTAACACAATTCTCAAAGATTACGGAGGGGTGGCTTGAGGCTAAAAAGGTTAAGATACACTGCTGTAAACAGAGCTGCTACACATGGTGCACAGAGTGCACAGCTCTGCTGCATGACCAGGCTCAACCATGTGTTCCACGCCCCAGGCTAGAGTGGGGATGGAAATGGAAGGTAAATGGCAATGATGGA